GGTTATCATTTTTAAAGAAATTCCTGGTGATTGATATCTTCCACACCTGTAAATAAACTTTACAGGCTTCCTCTCAGCTCATTTGGGAATGGGAACAAGGAAAAGGAGGAAGGAATGATTAGGAATGATGTTATGCTTTATTCAATAGCAGGTTACCCCAAGATTGTTTTGAGAAAGACATCCAATTTTGTAAATTAATTTAAATATGTTTATTTTCCTCAGAAAAACAGATCAAGGGCTTTGATATTTTTAGGTGGTTCTTACCTTCAAGAGAATCCAGTAAAATTGAGAAGTCTTCATCTTCTGTAAACAATAAAACGTGTGTCCTGAGTTAAAACACAGTGTTGTGACTACTGTAGACAACATAATTTGAATATATCAACAAAGTTGAAATGGTAAATTGGCCACCGTAACGATTACAAAAGCTGACGTTTCGAGCGTTAGCCCTTCGTCGGAGCAAATGACGAAGGGCTAACGCTCGAAACGTCAGCTTTTGTAATCGTAACGGTGGCCAATTTACCATTTCAACTTTGTTGATATATTCAAATTATTTTGTTACCCCCACCGACGCAGCCCCAAACAGTTTATTTACAAACTATCAGCCTTTATTCTACTGTAGGCAACAGTTTTTTTGTGTGCTCTGGTGACATTTTTAGTTATTGCAGCAATGCCAAAATTTGAAAATCAACTGATACATGCTCATTTGGCACTTTAGCAGTGAGTTAGACTAAGTGGAACACTGCGTTGTCTTAAACAAAGGGATAATAGTTTTAGGAGTTTTATTTTCTGAGCTAGGGATTTTTATGATTACCTGTCCAGCTTGTGCTGCTGACAAGTAGAGCAGGCCTGTGTTGTCTGAAAAGAACTCTACCATCTTTTAACTGAATTGTAAATGCTGTCATAGAAGTTACATCATTCTTGAATTCTGAAGGACTTTCAAAAACAGCATACATTCTTAATTGATGAAATAAAAGAAACCATCTCATGTTAAGACAGAGATAAGAAATTTACATTACAATACCTTTCTGGTGCACTGAAAACTTCATATTCCTTGGACAGCTTTAGAAAAAGCTGAAATGTAACATTTGCACATGTAAACATAAGCAATTCAGACACAATTTCTTGTCTAATCTAAAATGATAGTATGAGTAAAGTTTGCACAATGTTTGAATTTTTTCCGGTGATTGATTGGTTAATCATACATTTGTTGTCGTTGTGTAAATACTTCTTACTAACCACGTTTGAGGTCTGCAATGTAAGTTACAGACCAAGTTTTTCCTCTTGGATTCATGGCCTTAACTTACAGTACCAATGGAGAAAACAATGTTAGTAATTAATATATTTATTATACCTCTGGCTTGAAATAGACTGCAAAGATTTCAATTCAAACAAACTTTTGAAATTTTTTGTGGACTGTACAGAGAATATCATTTGCTAAATTGACCAATCATAGCCCACAAACTGATGTGAACAATGTCTGAGACCTTAAATACTGCATCTTGAAGTTATGGGGTTGCTTTGTTTCTTTAACTCCCAAGAGTGACTAACATCTAATTTCTCCTTACAATATCACCCCTGAATCACACATGAAGACCATGATAATAAACGAAATGATCACCAACTATAGAAGCACCTGATTGTTAAACAAATTCTCCTTGTCAGCACTTTAGGAAATGTATAGAGAGCAGTATTAAGAATATGCACACTCATGGCAGGAGGTAAAGGCTTTAATGGGCTTTGACAAAAAACCAATCAACTTTGCCTTGTTAAGAGCTAGGGTTTTAACAAATACTCTAATTGCACTATTCTTGCTTGCCAGCCAGCAAGCCAGCTGGTGACTTACTCTGCATCTTAAGAGGCCTTTTCTTTCCCACTATTTAATTAACAACTCAATGTAAGTTAATTTGTAAAAATTGTAAGAATTACCCACTTGGTGTTGTGTGGAAAGATCCATTTCATGAAACCGCAATGGAGGCCTATCATACAAAGTGTGTGCTCTATGGAATAAAATTTTTTAGGCTGTTTTCTATGTGTGTATATTAATTATATGCATTCATAAATATTTAATATATGACAAGCTGAATTATACACAAATTGTGTGATCTATTGCTGAACAAACACAAGGCAACATGGAATCCATTAGAATTGTAATGGTTCCACATGCATTTTGTATTGTAGATTGTTTTAAATTAGGTATTTATTTCATTATTTATCAATTCATTTACTTTATGATAAAATTTATATACTTGAACACATTACACATTGATTGATACCTTATTTCGTATTTTTCCCACAAGTCCCTCTGCATTGCCCGAGTGACACACAGGTTCATTGAGGACATACTTCCACAAAAGAATTCATACCTGCATATAGTAAAACACGTGACAATATGTTAAAACAACAAATAATCAGGTCCCATGACAGTAAAGGGACATTACATTCTTTGAAAAACTTACAGAGCTTTAAAAACAGTTGAACTATTCATATGCTTGAAGATAATTAATTTAATGTTGGGTATGACACACTGGCAGATACAAATTTTGCTATCCAAGGATCATTCCACACACTCCTGAGATTGGGTGGGAAGTGAGGGGGAGAAGAAGAATCAAGCATATAGATTTCTTACAATCTTGTCAAATACCTGGTATTACTATTTGTCAAAGTGATTTGCCATCAGTGTGAAATCACTCTGTTGTATTTTGCTCTTAAAAGTATTTTTAGGGTACATTTTCATATGAAAAGCTGTGTACAGAGTATAGCTCAGTTCTAACTCTTTACCTTGGCCAATTTACATTTATCAACTCAGTGACAAAACCAAATTATCTCGTTGACGATGAACATACATCATACCCTGTAGCATTTTTCTGCCATCTGCGTGCTTTTCCTCTTTTATTAGATTGTGCTTAGTTGAAAATATAATTCAAAATAAACATCTTCACTGCTATACAACTCAATTCATGCACTGTTGTTTTAACTGATGATAATGTAATGTAATTTTTTTTTTATCCTGAGCTCATTTCTCTCTTGTCCTTGTCCCTAAGTTTTATCTGGGGTTCCCTTTCCTCATAACACAGCATTGCACACACAACCACCTACCATTTGGCTACCTTCACCAGAGGGTGAACAGTACTCTTCACTCCCAAAGCCAAAATTGTAAACCCATAGTTATGCCAATCAATGATAAATTTACTACCACAGAGGAGACTCACGAACCAGGCTGCTGCCAAAGATGGGATGGCTGGAGGATTCTATAGATTAAGCAGGACATTATTATTACTTTTTCTGTCACAGTAATGATTGATCAATAAATTCTGGACAATGGTAATATGCTCCTTTTAAAAATCAACAAATTATGACAAACATTGGAAATATTTTATAAGGTTATTCTGTTACCTGAACTAACAAATGGGTACACTGGGAACCACAGCAAAGAAGTGTTACAAAGAGCTGGAAAAACTGAATGAATGCTTTCAAGGCATAAAACAGCAATTTGGGTAATCCTATAAAAGTTAAGCAGAATGAAATGGAGTGAATAGCTATTAAACATGTGCATCATTAAAAAAGCAATAAGGTATAATTGGTATAATTTATACACTTCAGAGTCAAATTCATAGAGCTCTTGATCCCTAGGCTTAAGCTCCCCATGATGTAGACTAATCTTAAATACTTCTAAGGATACTGTTGGGCAACTCCATACCTTTCAGAAATTCAGGAAATTCTGGTAATGTCTTTATTATGACTTTTTCACTCTCTGCTAGTTCCTTGATAGGATTAGACCCTGAATAGCAGATATGAAGTACACAATTGTACAACCTCAGTCTCTACAAGCTTATTCATTATATTAATTTAATCACTTTCACCAGAGTATGGTGAGGGTCGCACAAGAGAGCGAGGCTCCAAATTAAGTGCGCCCAATATCCCACCCCCGGGGAGGACATCCATCACACAGTAATCTCGTGTGTGGAAAATTAATGTCTCCTACCCCAACTCCCTCCATTTATTCATCCCTATCCGAGAAGACTACAATATCTAACCATTTCTTGATATTATAGAAAGGCAGCAAATTCTTCTCAATTATTTTAAGACCCTGAGTGTTGGTCTGGCCGGGGCTCGAACCCTCGACCTCCTGCGCAACAGTCCAGCGCTCTATCCATTGAGTTTTACAGTGTATGTGTGTGACAGTGCTAAACTCCAGACAGTTCAAACTAACAATGGCCTCCCTCCTTTACTTAAACTCTGTATTTACCAATTCAAACCCATTTCCATTCCCTTATGAATTTAAAAAATTGGGAGATTCCTCCATCTTAGAAGTAATGAAAGGTGGATTCCAAGACTCAAGAATCTCACCCAGTAGTTAATAACCTCCCACTATTGGATCTTGATTGAACACATGTATGGAAATGTTTGTGCAAATACCAGCATGCTGACTGAAGAACTACCCTGCAGTTTTCATCATTTGGAAACTGATCAGGAATTTCATAGATCCCTTTGTATATTTTATAGGCTCACAGGGGTAAAGTGGTATAGTAACTTTAGACTTTCCAACAAGCCTAAAACACTCCTCAGGCAAACAAATATCATCGCACCCCACCACTGTGTAAATACCCAACCCCCCCTCCCTAAGCAAACTTCTTATGAAGCCAGTATCATTCCATACCTCCGAACCCAACCATATCCACCCGAAAGCCTGCCTTTGTACAAGAAAGTGCATGATTCTGCATGCGAGGACTTCTGCCGATGTCTCCAAGTACTAGGATACAAATCCTTGGCTTAGAAGGGTCTTTTCGAGCCCTTAGCCAATACACTAAAAGTACGATCACGACAGTAACACCCGTCAGAGCTGTCGCCACATACATCTAAATTGATTCTTGACTGGTTAGTCAACAGAAAAGAAACTGTTCGCTTAAATAAATTGTGCTGACTAATGGGTAGTTTTGGCGGGTCACAACCACACCATTTGCTGAACGTCAGTCATACATTAACTTCTTCAAGCTCTTCTCGTTCTTCTACAAACGAATACACGAACATTTCTGGTCAGCAGACACTCGTCAAAGGATAGAAATACCAAGGACCCACGGGATAGCATACCCCATAATCATTTTTGTTTCACGAACATTACTTGGATCGCTCATACTAGTTGCAAGCAGAAACTACGGTCGAGTTGTTGGAATTTTAAGGCTCAAACATCAAGGAAACGATGTCCAACTTGAGAGATACAACGCTTCGCAACGTGCCAGATTATTTGACCAAAAATTTATCCAAAGGATCCGATCATTTGTGGTTTGGATGGTGCAAGATATGGAACAGCTACCGTGCCAAGTACGTTCAAGTCAAGAACGCTAAACTGACTCCGTTTATTCATATTTGCATTGCTGCCATGGCCATTAATTATTACATGGAGTATCCCCACAACAAGGGTGAGCTTGTTTGTTAAGTCTGTTGTAGATTTCTAGCAGCTTCACGGTATGATTGGGGTGTTTTTCTTTGTCCTGAACTATCGCACGAACTGTCTGACCTCTTGGTTATTTCTCAAGGTTACATAATTTGTTTCCACAATTATGGAATTGCTCCATCTAAACAATAAGAAATAACTAAAGTAAGTTAGTTTTGGTTACTCTACAGTGGGATTTATAGGAAGGAAGTTTAGCTGGAAGCACACAATTATGGATATTGGGTACTTTCATGATGCCGTGCGATGCCAGGAGAACAAATATTTTGGGCCATCCTTGTCGTACCAACCTATTGTTTTCACTAGTGACATTGGAAAAAATTAGAGGACACAATAAAGCATGGGAAAATGACAATGAAAAAAAACAAACAAACTAAACAAAACTTCACAGTCTCTTACAACAAGATTAACCAAACGTTTTTGTCTTTTGAAAACTTTTAAACATATAATGAATAGCCCTAGATCTTTAAAAGAAAAAGAGTCTATGAAAATTGTTGATAGATAGCATTACTAAAACTAACTTTAAGAGGCATTTCCTTTGAAAAAATGTGACCAATTTTTAGTCAGGAAAATCTACTTTGGAATCCTACTTTCGAAACTTCCTGGAGAAATGGAAATATAGTTGAACCTACATTAAGTGGCATGGTACTGAACAGTCACTCTGTATTAAATGATCAGTTGCAAGGTCCCGAAATTTTCTCCGCTCTATTACTATAATTTTTACCTCTACTGAGCGGTTGTGGTCACCCTTTACTAAGTCCTAACAGCTTTTTTGTGTTGCCTTCCACTTATATTTAATGGTCAGTTAAGGTGGCTAGTATCACATTTCATCTTTTTGATGGTGTGTAACTTTGAAAGAATAAAACAAAAAGACTGATCAAGGTATTTTGAAAACTTTTAAAGGGTTGAATTATATAATCATTGGTTATCCAGAAATAGGTGTCATTTGGTTGGATTCCATGGCAATGCTTCCAAAGGATTGTTCAGACACGTTTTTTAGCTTAGGGCTCAGATAATTAAAAAACTAACTCTTTGGTCCATGTTTATATCCTGGAATCAATATTAGTACTTTGGGTACAAAGTTCCTCAAAGCATCACAGATTCTCTTTCTACTTTAGACTTTTGGAAAATATAATACACACAGACATCACACAAGTCAGTTGTTAGTATACTAAGCAGTCAACTTGTTTTAAATGGTCAGCTTACCATTCCCTGTGAGTGTCCTGGAATTAAGATCCCCTTGAAATAACAATCTATTATGAACGTACCACAGCAGAATAAACATTGAGAGTTCTTCTGTGCTCAATTGTTGGTCTTTTAGATAATGTGTTTGTTTGTTATATTCCCTCAGCACATTCCATGTGGAGGAAGTATCACTAAACAAGATCACAGCTGGTAATTGCCTGGGTGTTTGTGTCACAAGGAGCAATTTTACAAGATTACCATGGAAGGAAGCATTTAATAAGTTGGACTGGACAGTTGATGTTGTAATCAAGCAATTTGTGAGAATAAAATCTTTATTTTCAGTGTTGTAAGGAAATCCAGGTTTATTATCTGGGATGGGGCTCTTCTTTCAAGGTGGGAAAAAATCCTCTCCCAATGAAGTCAAAAGAGTTATGTTTTCAACTTAAGCAATGAAAGCAAAAATTTTAATTTCTTTGTCAGATGTGCTTGTAAGCTTACCTTTGTTAAATGTGCAGTCCAATACTCCATTTTAGGTAATCTTATATTCTATATGCCTGAACCTCATGTGTTTACAGTTATCTACAATTTAAGCTCTAAAAGCAAAAGTTTCAGTTCTTTTGTCTGTTGCCCCTTTCAAGTTTTGAATCTGATACTTCTCTGTTAATTTGAATGCAGTTATTTTCAAGCTCACTAATCCATGTACTCTTTCCATTATCTTTGGCTTTCATTCCTTTTTCTCTCTCCTCATCCTTCTTCTCCTCTTCTGCTTCTTCTGGGAAAAAAGTGATTCACCAGGGTTGTTTGTGGCTTGTCGTCTCCTCAATTATTGGTGCGTCAAAACAAAAAGTGACGGCTCGGCTGCAAGGTTAAAGTTCCGTTTCCCAGTTGGCTGACTTGAAAGCCCCTAGCATACTAGTAGAGTAGAGGAAGCAATAGACATCCCAACTGCAGGGACCACGGAGGTATGACTTTAGGTGCCCTCCATATTTAGACATTATTGAGGCTTTTTATGCGTTTGTGAGACATACTCATGCAGTCTTGAAGTAGTCAACTGTTCGAAGACTTGCGCAGAGTGCATGAGTGTAACTAATTGAAGAACAAAACTCACTCTAGGTACAATATCTTGACAATCTTGGTTAGCGTCCAACAGAAGATGTGCACACTCAGATCGAGAGCCTTTTTAGTTGGTGATCATTTCCCTTATTCTCATGACCGTATTGCGTGATTCATGGCTGATATAGTATGGAGAAATTAGATACTAATCTCTCTGCTCAAAGGTCAAAGGACTCGTGCGGTGATCAGAAGGAACAACTGATGCTTTTCTCCTGTTTCCCAGCGAGGACATGAAGTTGGCGCCTTCACGCCTTGGATGAAACCTTGGGAAATATCTACACTCTTTCATGAGTATTATTGTAAATACTTTTTATAGGGGCAAAAATTGAATTAACGTTCGCTTGAAGCGACTTAGCTTTGGTTTTCGATTTAATTCGACATCATTCCAACTAACATCAACTGAAATTCACAATTTGTGGAATTTCCGATTGTAAGATTGAGTGGACTGCCAACCCATTACAGCAGATCCAGCGCCCTTTTGAAAAGGCGGTTGTTTGTAATCTCTTTGTCTGAACGAGCAATTCATGACCGACAGCGGAAACTGATGTTCTCTCCTCCAAGCCAGGTTCGTGATAGCTGCTATCCTCCCTCGTGTACTAAGTATCGTTTTTAATTACATAGTCCTCAAGAGATATTTCAATCTTTTCAGTTTTCCTGTCTCTAAAACAGCCCAGCACCCATGGAGTTAACGAAGCTGCGATAAGGGCACCACCAGCCATGAAGAATGCAGGCTCATATGTGCCAAGTTTGTCGACGGCAAAACCTGGAAATGAAATTGATTCATCTGTCATAATCAAAGTTCTATCAAGATTCACAAATGTAATTGGTCATAAGGGTACTAGGGAAACCGGTTATTCGCCAGAGATTCATCTCGCCCAAAGTCATGTCGCCCGGAACCCTAGTCACGTCGCCCAAAATTTTTAGTCATGCCGCCCGAAAAAAAAAGTCAAGTCGCTCGAAAAAACAGATGCTTAAAATATTAGACTTGCAGACTATAAATAGGCAATAAAGTTGAGAAATCTTAAGTACTAAAGCGCTCTCTGTCTCCGACAACACCATAAAGATTCTGAAAAGCGTTGTTCGTTTCTAACAACAAAATGAAGCGTTGTTCATTTGGTATGTAATTGTTTCGTAATCACGGAAGTTTCGTAAGCTTGAGAAACTTGGAAACTTGGAAACTTGAGAAACTCATCTTGGTTTCTAACACCATAACGACTTTGAATTCTTCTGGAATTTCTGAATTTCTGGTGAATCTGTTGTAGTTCAATTTTATCCTTGGTTCAAATTTTATTTTCCTTTGTTTCAAACTCATTATCATACATTAACATGACCGAGAACAAAGGAAAATAAAATTTGAACCAAGTATAAAATTGAACTATAACATATCCAGCGTGTCAACTTTATCCAAACTTTTTTCAAACTACACTATCACTTGTGTTTTTATGAGACGAACTTACAATTTCGAAGGTCTTATAACATAAATTCAAATGCCGTTGTTGTCTCTTGATCTCTTCTCAACACAGCATTGTCCATACCTGACAGCGGAGGTCCAACCAATGTCACGAAAGACGTCGTCAACAAAACGTTACCAAACGCTGATCCTGCTTTAGAAGGCTCTACGCTTGTCAAAGCTATAATATTCACCGCCGCAGCCATCGCCCCTTCGCAAAACCCGAATATAAGGGAATATGCGACTAACCACTCGTAGTTCTTTGCCAAGACAAGGAGTACTGTCGAGACCCCGTTTGTGATTGCCATGCCTTGTAAGATAAACCAGTTATCCAATCGTTCGATGGAGCACAGAAAGCCACACACAAATCGGCCAAGAACAATATTGATTCCCATAAAAAGAATGAGTCTTGATGACGCAGCAGAAGACATCCCACGATCTACGGAATACTTCACCTGAGAACGTAAAACAAAGTGCAAGACAATGTAATGATACCTTGTTACCTGTCGAGTTAACAAGGGGAGGAATCCTAGAGTGTTTCATACCGTTATAATATCTTTCTAACTTCGTTTTCTCGGTCCGTACCGTAGGTTACGGACTTGGTTTTTTCCCGGCTGGAAATAATTCGGTCGGTCCGTAAGCCAGTGCGGACCTTGCACGCGGTTAGTAAGAGGTATAGAGCTACCTACCAGAAGCACATAGATTATAGATCGACCAAACATGAAAAACGCTGCTGTGACTGTAAGCACAATAACACTAGGGACTTTCCACACGGAGCAATGGAATGTGAAGCGTTTGGACTCTCTCGGCCTCTGTCCATCTTCTTCACTTGAAAGCTGTTCACTGCTGTCAGAATTTTCTGTGTCCATTTCAGAATCAAACAACAAAGCAAGTAACGCGTTCAAAACTAAAGCACCTGCCATGATCCGTAATGCACTTCTCCAGCCAACAGCGTCAGTAAGAGATTGAAGAACTTGACTGAGAACCATTGTTCCCAAGCCCTGCCCCGTTGAACCGATTCCAAGAGCAAGCGCTCCACGTCTGTCAAAACATTTCCGAACCATTACTAAACCTGATACAAGTGCACACCATGCCCCAATACCGATAATACTGAAGGCCAGGTACAAGATGGTCAAGTTCTCAGCGAATGAAGCTGTCAGTAAACTGAGCGCATACGCCACACATCCAGTCATAGATACCGCTCGGCAGCCAAACCGGTTGGCTAAGGAGCTTGCAAATAAGGCAGAGAACGGCACCAGGGAGATAGGAAGCGAACCAACCCAGGCTAGAAAGGAAGGCAACAACGATAGTTTCCACATATAAGCATTTCACCACATCCAAAATAAACTTGATCAAAAAACACAAGGACCAAACATTCGGCCATTTGGAAACGCAGACAGGGAAGGACTGCTCGTACTCTGCACCCTTTCTGACGGAGTCGACCCGACCATCACAATAATAGTTTATAGTCCTTCACAAACGGTGGGTTACGTAATATTAGAAAAATGGTATCGAGCAGTCACGTGGCGGTCTCGTGTCAGTCTCGTGTGACACGACTGTACTTATAACTGGAGGAGCTGCTTCCTTGTTGTTGGCCACTCTTTGTGACTGACTGGAGACAAAAAAGGTCTCGAGATAGGTTATTTATTTGAAGAGAAATCCTACAAATTTTTGGTGTCTAAATGCAGTAATTTCTCCTCTACAAAACCCTTTCTACTGTTGCGTGAGTTATTTGTGCCGATGAAGTTGGGCTACCGTGTTATCACTACAAATTAAATCAGCGTCTGCAAATTATTTCAGCATCTCGAGGGATTGAAATCTCCGGCTGACTATTTACATGTCTAGTTGAAACGTTTGCATACCTGTACGTTCTCTGCTTTCTTTAAAATGATCCATGAACACTGGCAAGAGCACTCCAAAACTATAAAGCAATCCAGTGGTGAAAGCCAAATTCGTGGCAGCGGCAAAGCAAACCATCCAGGCCCAGATGCTGTCCTTTTCGTGTGACGGGTGACCATCACGACATTTTTTACAGACAACGCAAGAAAACATAATAACGATTTAAGACCAATAGTAAATTTCGGAGATGGACTCTTTCTTTGAATGACGAATAAAAGATGTGATGGCATCGATTAGGTCACGCAGAGTCACGTTTCATCATGTGATTACGTAATATTAGCCCTTGCTTAGCAGTACTGGCCAGTTCCAAACCCCGCGCAAAAACACTTCGGAACTATTGTTTTCTGCCTTTCTCGTTGCCGTCGCCGTCGTCTTCGCTAAAGCTCCCTATAAGGGAATTTAAGCAAACCACGACGGCGACGGCAACGAGAACGTGTGACAAATACAATTTTCGATTTTCCTGATTATCTAGGACAGCCTGACCCTTGATTCTGTGAGAAACGTTGTTGTGTATGATCCTATGCCCTGCCACTTTTTGAAACCTTTGATATATATATTTTTGATCTCTTATGCCTCGTTTCGACCCAAATAAGCCTTTGCATATTTAATTG